CCCCACCCCCGTGGCCCAGGCACTGAGAAACGCAATAGCCATTTCGTGGCCCTTTAGGGTAATGTAGCCAAAACATTGTTTTGTTTTGTGGTTTCCATTAGACGGTCCCCGGTTTAATAACTGCATATACCGGGGGTGCCAAAAAAATGTTTGCAAGTGGACACTTTGGTCAGTGTTGCTCAGGCAGTAGTTCGCCATAATCAGAAGTGTCTGGACGCTGATGGTAACCACTTTGAGCGCCTCTTGTAATTGCAGAAGTCAAACGTGACTTGTATTCATCTTTTGTTATCAGTATATATTGAGTATTACAATTTTAATCGTTTCTTTCTTAAAATGTGTATACATTTTTTTGGCACCCTCTGTATAGAGAATACAATAAGCAGTCCTCCCAACAGTCCTCAAGCGCCCAACTCTCCATCAATAACAAAGAAACACGTGTATTAGTTTCCTGTGCACCCCTCTGGAATTTCTGTATACATACAAACACAAATGTATGTTTGTGGGTTCTCTTCACTTCTCTTTAGATCAATAACCAATGGCCACATGTTCCTCATGGTTCTGTCGCTTGCTTTTCTCATTATCTCAGTTGGAACCCTCTCCTATTAGCAAGTAGAGTGGCTGAAGCCTTTCTGCTGGTGCACCCAAGCTAGTGATCCTAGAGGGATAACCTGCTCCTACACCGGCAACCCACGATGGCTACATCTTTCTGAAGATCAGCGTGGTGCTCATTTTTAAGAGGAAGGGACTTGTGGGCCTCTCTGAGGAGCTGCCCAGAGGCTGAACCGGTCTGGACAGCTGTGAGGGGCTGATTTCTTGTTCCCCTCTTGGGATGGGAACACACTGCTTTGTGAGGGACACGGGTCCTCTCGCCCAGCATGCGTCTTGTCAGTGAGGCCTTCTTTGATTGTCATCTTACAATTGAGCCACCCCCTCTGCATTTTCTACCTCTTTTACAGCTCTCCTCTTCTTCCCAATATGTCTGAAGACCTGACATGCTCTATATTTTACCTATTCACCCACTTTTCTTCACCATACCCCCCACCCCCAGAATGTAAGCCCCTTGACAGACAGCTGTGTATTCCTTTTTTTTTTTTTTGCTCTATTTTCTTTGCTCCCTCTACTCCCAAATATCAAAGACAACTTGTCTCCCCTCCCGCCATTCTCTGAGTGCTCCTTCTGGTTGATTCCCAGTTTTATCTCCCCCTCTACCACCCCTGCCCCCGCAAAAACTGTTGGTGCAGAAGACACCCTGATCTAGGGGGGAGGGAAGACACCGAGGGCTTCAAAGCGTCATTGCAGGATGAACAGATGTTTAGTGAATAGAAGCTTGCTCTGCCCTATAGGTGGGCCACCTCTGATAATCTGTGGTTTATGGACAAGGCACCTAATTCAAGTTCTAGGTAGTTGCGGGGAGTCAGGGGGTGGGGGGGTGGGGAGGCAGAAGTTTCTCTTGAACCCACAGAGTCTCGGTTGCCTGCAGCTCAAAACAATCCACATACCACAGAGGCACATCTTGGGGTGACTCATTCTGAACGCCCACAAAACCATTACTCTACATCATCTACAATTTTCCAGCTTATTTTTTAAAAAGCATTCCTATCCTAAACAAATATTTCATCCCCAATTAAACGGGCTCTTCGTTCCTCAGAGGGAAATTCCCACTTCCTGCCTGTGGCCCCTACATTCTTTTCTTGCTTCAGTTTCACCCATTAATACCCACTCTTGAGTCCTCTGGGCTCATGTAGTTTTCCTCTAAGCCACCACAGCTCTTATTTAAACTTCTTTTATGTTTCTGCTGTCTCGCCATGTGTTCTTAGTGTGTGTGACTCCTTTTCTGAACAACTCCCCGGCCCCAAGACCAGTAATGATCACATTGCCACCTGGCACGTTTCCATCCCTTAGTGTGTAACCTTCAGAATTTGTTGATTTGTCCTGGAGTGTGGAAAAAGCTGTTTTTTTTCATTCATGTCGCGTCCTGCGTGACAAGGGCGGTAGAGAACGAGAGGGGCGGCGCAAGGTTAAGAAGCACAAGAGACAGATATAGGGCTAAAGCAGGGCCAAGGGGCATCATCCTCTAAGTACTGAGCTCCAAGTCGGGTTGCCGCTTGGCTTTTAATGAGAAAATTTTAAGGAAGTGAAACTGGATTACTCAAAGACCCGTGTGCTACGTGCCTTAAGGCTGTTTTCCATTAACCAGCTCTCATTGTATTCCAACATGTACTGTGCTTTCATACAACCTCGCACAACCCTCAGGACAGCGTTGCTGTACCTCCTCCATCCAAATAAGGGAGATGACCGGTATCATTCCACCGGTCTCAACATTCCGAGACACCTCCTCATGACCTCATTAGGTTGGGGGTGGGGGTGGGGTGGGGGGTGCGTCTTGGACTTAGCTGTAAGGCAACACATTCAAACAACTTTTCTTAGATGTCAAGATAGGAAATGAAAAACAGACAATTTGTGTGTATCTGGCATTTTCCACAATTGGCAGCCTCCTCTGTTCAGGCCTTGACAATGTCTTCTACCAAGGAGTTTGGCCTAGTAAGTTTCCTGCTCAAAACAGAAGGTGACTTCTCAATCATAAATTCTAAAGTTCTAATGGCATGCTCTTAAACGTTGCCCATAATATGCATATTAAATAAATGACTTTTTAGGACAATAAAGGGATTGTTGCTTTGTCATTCATCCTACTTGCCTGGTAAGCAAAAGATATCAGATTCGAACCCTTAACGTTTTGTTTTTGCATTGTTGAGTTCTTTCTAATGTTCATTGATTTCCATAAAACTGTTGCCCCTGAATTAAGCCTAATTTGCTTTATCTAGTAGGTTCCACACCTGACCTACAAGTACACACTTGGATAATCTGGAGTAACCATAATGGTATATCTTTTGTTTTATAACAATAAATAATCTTAATAACTGTTGAATAAGTGCCTAGTGCTGAGGACTATTTCAGGTATTTGGGAAACAAAATGAGTAAGACATCCCTGTGTTAAGGACTCAGGCCCTAGGCTAGGGCACCCTTCCCCCACCCACCCACCACCCCCAAAGGAATTTAAAAAGCTCCTGCTTCAGCAAAAGTNCGGCCCCGACCCGCTCGGCGTAGTTGCCCTTGCGGAGCAGCCGGTGCACGCGGCCCACGGGGAACTGCAGGCCGGCCCGCGACGAGCGCGTCTTGGCCTTGGCGCGCGCCTTGCCGCCCTGTTTCCCGCGTCCAGACATGACAACGAAGAAGCCGCAGCGCCGACCCGGGTCTGAGATGAGCCGCCCAGGGCGCCCCTTCTTATAGTCGTGCCGCGCGGACTTGCAGCCCTTTCGCTTAAACCAATGGAGCCCGGGGTTTGAAATACGCCGATTCTGACTGGCTGACGTTCGCGTGTGACGTTTCCAGCCCTCGCCGCCAATCAGGCGCGACTTTGTTCACCGCCTCTTTTAAGAGGCTGGGGCGCGCCAGGCCGTTCACAGTTTCCGCTCGTCCGTCCCGCATTTTCCTGTTTGGCTTCGCTGCTTCCCGCGACCATGCCCGAGCCGGCCAAGTCGGCGCCCGCCCCGAAGAAGGGCTCCAAGAAGGCGGTGGCCAAGGCGCAGAAGAAAGACGGCAAGAAGCGCAAGCGCAGCCGCAAGGAGAGCTACGCGGTGTACGTGTACAAGGTGCTGAAGCAGGTGCACCCGGACACGGGTATCTCCTCCAAGGCCATGGGCATCATGAATTCCTTCGTCAACGACATCTTCGAGCGCATCGCGGGCGAGGCGTCGCGCCTGGCGCATTACAACAAGCGCTCGACCATCACGTCCCGGGAGATCCAGACGGCCGTGCGCCTGCTGCTGCCCGGGGAGCTGGCCAAACACGCCGTGTCCGAGGGCACCAAGGCCGTCACCAAGTACACCAGCTCCAAGTGAGCGCCTGTGCAGCACCCTGGAACCAAAAGGCTCTTTTCAGAGCCACCCAGTCTTTCGCAAAGTGAGCTGGTGCTTGTTTTACTGCCTGCTGTGTCTTGTCACTCGTTTAATCTGCGAAGTAGGGCGACCGTCTGGAGAGCCTGCCCTGTCACGGTAAGCTAGAGCTCCGCTAGGACACAATGATGCTACCTGGCGCTATCAGCTCGGAAACTCCTTTGTGTAGAGAACGCCTCAGCTTTTCAGCCTCACGGAGGCACTTCCTGCCTTTGGGAGTGCTCTGCCACTAGTTATGGTGTCCATCAGGGCTAAGTTACGATGGAAAAGAATTTTTAGCTCCAAGCAAATTCCGCTCTCCCGGTCCCCCTACCGGGGCTCGAATTGTACTGCATCCGGGGCGGAGGCTGCGTTGGCCGTTGAAGTTCGCCCGTGAGCCACCGGAGGGATCCAGCCCCGCCCGTACCCGCAACGTCATAAACACTGTCGGGTGATGATCCATTCTGCTTGTCATTGTTTTTTTTGGCGCTTCATTCCTTTCTAGAATGACATTATTTCCTTTCAGTTTTCTTTGAAGAAGAAAATTTGAAGGGTGTAATTTTTCAGTTTGAGAAATACCAATGCTTTATTTTTAATTGCGATGCTGCTTTCCCTTTGGCCTATATCCATATAATAAAAAACGTTACAAGACAACAACCGTTTGGAGTCCAATGAAGGCAAAGAAGCTTGAATGTTTATCCCAGACTCTTCTGGGATTAAAAATCACTTTCTCTTTTTAAGTTTCTTGGGTTAGTGAAAGGTGCTAAAGGACCAGAAGAATATATTTATGTTATTAGAAGCAAAGAATTGAAATGGAAGGTTAGAAAATAAATGGCGAGTTTAGCTACTCAAAGGCTATGATTCTCATCTCTAGGGGAAAAGTGAGTGAAAAAGGGATTCTATGGAAAATAACCTCACAGGGTGTCATGCCGGTCGTGAGGCCCCAGGCCCATAACGTTGTAGTAAAAGGTTATCTAGGCCTTAAGGAATCCCTGTCCACTGTCCCTGTACGTGTAGGCTCACACACCTTTGAAACGCCTCTTTTCAGACCCCTCCTTCTAAAGCGTGACCACTCTCAAGAGAGCACATATTAACTACCCTGTAATCCAGTCCCCACCTTACTCTCTCCCACCTCCATGTCACATCTTTACTTTCCCTTCTTAATCTCAAATGCATAAAAGAAACTGCAAAACTGTCATTCTCAGAAACATCTGAGATCTTGCTTCCTGGCATGTCATCAGCTTCGCTCAAATAAACTCAGAAATTCTCTACAGCTTTGGACGTTTCTTACATTGACAGCTCTTTGACTTAAATTTGAATGAAAAATATCAATATAATTTATTTTTATTTTTATTTTTTAGAAAACAACTGTTTTTCTCCTAGCAGTTTTCACAGGAAAGGTCTACAACCAATGAAAATTCATGAACTGTGAGGATTCCCATCACCCAGATTCATTTTTCTAGTTCTTTTCCAAAGAGCAAACTATCAGGAGATTTTGGTTAAATGTTATAAATTAAAATAGATTTAAGAAACCTAGCAACCAAATGCCATGTGCTGACCTAGTGGAACTCCACCTCAGACAAAATGATTGTAAAAAAGTATTTGAGGCAATTGAGAATAAAAAATTTAAAAAGACTGAGTATTGGATGATGTTATAAATCAGTTTTAAATTATTTTAAGTTTGAAAATCTTGTATTTTGTCAGTGTCTGTTGGGACATTTGTGAAAATAACATGTTTGTGATTTCTTTTCACTGTCCCCTTCCCGCCCAACACCGGAGCGTAATGAAACAATATGGGCAAAATGCTGACAATTGTTGAAGGATGGTACTGGGCACTTGGAGGGTCGTTATTCTCTTTTGTGTATTTTTTGTGTGCGTAATCCCTTCCCCTCCAAAAGAAAAGTTGTTTAAAAAAAGTCCACCCAAGTTTAAACATATTTCTCTTTTGGTCAAAAAAGGGTGACAGAGGGATCAAGTGTTGGCAGAAATTCTGGAGACTTCACTGAGGAAACAAGGAGAGGCCACCTGCACGAGGGAGGCGCCCACAGCAGCAG